GTGAAGACAGACATTATTTTCATACAGATCTTATTTTCGCAGATATCTTTTTTCAGTATACGAGCAGATCTTATTTTCGTGCATATACGAGGGTTGTCCCAAAAGTCCGTGACAAATTTTATAGACGATTCATTTCTAACGCCAATAGAAAATAATTCACACATATAACCCTTAAGTTTATTTTTTAACATTACGACAAATCATTTACAAAAAAATACTGTAGTTACTTAGAAATTTTCAGTATTAACGACATTGGTTTGAGTTACCGGCGCACGTCAAATAATTTGCATTTTGTTGTGAATAGGCTAAAATTAATTACGTATATTTCAAACATCTGATAATGTGTCTGCACAGTGTCACGTTGATTTCCTCCGCTGCTATGTTTACATCATCTCAGAAAATTTTAGTTAAATAACTTAAGAAACGAAAAAGATCCGAATGAATGAAAATATCTCGTATAAAATAGAAAAGTTAAAATGGCGACGTTCGAAGAATTTGCGGCGCAGTGAACAGGTCACTCGGGTTTCTTGACTATTTCGAGATGACACATGTTACGATTTTCAACAATTATACCAAATAGAACAGTTTAGCAACATATCCTGAGCATTTGTGTACAAAAGGCATGAACGGAACCAGAGTTTTGCGCTACAAAAAGCGAACATTAGGAAAACACGGAGAGAAAGACCGATCTTTGTCATATATTTCCTACAGCTAAAAACAGGTGCAACGAGACCGGAAGTTTTCGTATAGGAAAAATTATTGTATGCCATCCAAACATTTAACAGACATTAACAACATCATGATTTAGGTCTGTAATTGACTATTAATGGGTAAAGCTGCACCATTACTGCGTTGAAAGCCATTAAGAGTATTTGAGAAAGGCTCCTTATATAGATTTAACGCCGTCTCTGACGTTTGACGTGCGCCGCGATTCAGTTAGTTGCCATGGTGTTTATGACATAGTTTTGTTGTTTGTTGATATTTTTCTATGTAAATTTGTGAAAATGTTTCAATTATATGGGTTTATAACATATCAAAGTATCAAATTCGTACCTATTTTATTTAGCTTTTAAACAATCTTGTTACAGAATATTGGGACAACCCACGTATGTGAATTCATACAATTATCTCCATTATTTCCATAAAGATCTTATTTTCGTATAGATCACATTTTCAACAGGGTACTTTAAACATATATATAGTATTTTCATAAAGGTATTGTTTTTTGACTGATGTCATTTTCGTATATATATACCTTATTTTTCTTATTTCATTCAAAGAAATCAGTTTTAACAACAAAAATACGAATTTAATACATAAAATTCAAAAATAAATATATCATTTTTCGTAGACCCGATTAATCACGTGACCTTTGGTGTGAATGGACGTATTTTTAGTTGCTGTCGAATGTTATTATAAAAATGTAATTTAACATAGTTTTATGAGAAAATATGTGGAATAAAAGAAGTGTTTTAATGCTGATACAATGACTAAATCTAAAAAAGTGAATAAAAGGAAAAAAGGAAGTAGTACAGACGAGGAATTGGAAAAAAATAGGAAAACTTTAAAAGCATGCGGAGGCCCGGCAGGGGCATCTAATGAAAACAATATTTCAGTAAGTGAAGTTTTGAATATTACAAACTCTGTATTATTTGATGACACATTATCTACACCAATACCGGTATTTGAAGACGATCACTTATTGTCGCTAAATGAAAGAGACCAATCACGTGGTAATGATGAGTCCATAACAACTTCAGACAAAAACTTTCAATCTAGAAAAATGGAGGCTGAAATTAACTTAAACCCAACTAATGCTGACATTTTATGTTATTTGAAGAAAATTGATGCAAAAATTGAAAACATGGATGTAAAGTTACAGTCATTAGAAGCATTAGAGAAGAAAGTAGACAGTTTTGAAAATGAGTTGAAAAAAATTTGGCTTCATGTGCATGACAGTACTAAAAGTAATGATGAAAAAGTTATGAAAATTGATGAAAGAGTACAAAATGTTGAGTTTGCCGTAGTCGATAAGGATGATCAAATCGAAAAACTTTTAAATGAGAACATTAAAATGAAAGATGAAGTTGTATATTTAAAATCACAATCAATGAGAAACAATTTAATCTTTGGTGGAATTAAAGAAGAGAAAAACGAAAAACCCGAAGAAACGGAACGTATACTTCGAAATCACCTGAAAGAAAAGTTAAACATGGCTGAGGAATATGTTAAGTCACTACAAATTGAGCGTGCCCACAGAATGGGTGTTCAAGGGCATGACGAAAGATCGTTTTGTAATCGCAAAATTGTTTGCAAATTTACATATTTTAAAGATCGGGAGTTCGTCCGAAGTAAAAGAAAGCTGCTCGAAAAAACACCCTACTTTTTACATGAACAGTTTCCCCCAGAAGTTGTACAAAAACGACGTAGCTTATTTCCTAAACTGAAAAAGGCCCGAGAGGAAAACAAAACAGCATGGATTGCCTACGACACGCTGTTCGTCGATGGTAAACCAGTCAAGTCAGCCTAGGAATTACCGGAGAGTGAGCTGAAAGTCTTCGCATGGAATTGCAATGGTTTAAGTGACGCTAAATTAAAAAATAAAGACTTTATTTCTAAAATTTCGGAAAATGATATATGTATTCTTACTGAATCCTGGACTGATGAAAATTCTAATATTGAAATTAATGGTTATACATGCTTTAATTTTTATAGAAAATTTAACATAAAAGGGCTAAAAGAAACAGCGGTGGAATTGTTATATATATGTAAAAAACAATATTAAAAATGGAGTAACTATTGTAAGAAACCATTGTGACACAATTATATGGATGAAACTGGACAGTGAGTTTTTTAAGACAATGACTGATATATATTTATGTGGAGTTTATATGTGGTTTGATGACTCGCCTATTGCGAGTATTGAAAATGTAGATTTATTTGAAATGTTAACTAATGATGTTTTTTATTTTGAAGACCTAGGTAAAGTGTTATTAGTAGGTGACTGGAATGGGAGAGTAGGCAATAAATCAGATTTTATAGTTTGTGATAATAATGTAAAATATATCGATTCTGACGATTATTTTCCAGATGCACCATTATGCAGGGCCTCTTCCGATCCTATTGTTAATGCGAGAGGTGAAAGATCCTTGATTTTTGTAAAACTACTTGTATGAGATTAGCTAACGGTCGTTTAGGTAAAGATTGTAACGTAGGGGCATTTACGTATTATAGCCGTCAGTCAAACAGTACAATTGACTATTTATTATTGAAAGAGTGCAATTTTCAGATTATAAGTGAATTCGAAATATGTCAATTTAATGAATTTAGTGATCATGCACCACTTTCGTTTACTGTTAAATACTTAGATACTAAATTTAATCCAAGAAATTTAGAAAGTGAGAGTACATATTTTAAATGGCGTGATGCTGACAAAGATAAATTTAGAAGGGGTTTATTAGGACGAATGGCTGATTTAAACGATATTTTTGAGAATTCTTCTTCGAGCGACATTGAAAATATTGTTTTAAAGTTTTCAAAGATCATTCAAGATGTAGCCGAGCCTCTTTTTAAGCGAAAAGGTAGAAAAAAGGGTGGAAACTCTGATTGTTCTTGGTTTGATGAAGAATGCTACGAAAAAAAGCGTAATTATCTTAATGCTTTGTCGATTTTTAATAATTATAAAAACGAAACTAACAGGCATATTCTATGTGACTTGAAAAAAGAGTTTAAAAAGATTGTTCGTAAAAAGAAACGACAATATAGACTTAAAAGGGCACAATAATTGTCTGAATTGAAAAGAGTAAACCAAGAGAGTTTTGGAAACATTTTAAAAAACGAAATGTATCACAAAGTTCGGATATACCTATTTTAGATTTCCAAAATTATTTTGCAAATATGTTTGAAGAAATAAGGGCTACAACTGATTTTGATGCAAATATTTCAAATGATAATATTGATCCTAATATTAGTAACCCTACTTTCGAAGAGCTTAATATTCCATATCTTGCGAAGAAGTTAGAGATGCGGTGAAGCGATTAAACCGCAACAAAGCGTCTTGTCCAAGTGATGACTTGTTGAACGAATACTTTATATTTTCTATTGATATATTAGTAGGCCATATCACTGATCTTTTTAACAGAGTTTTTGATGCAGGCTATTTTCCAGAAATATGGTCTGAAGGCTTTATTATACCTCTTCATAAAAAAGGTGATCATACTAATGTTAATAATTATCGTGGCATCACATTACTAAGTAATTTTGGGAAATTATTTATAAGTATCTTGACAAATAGAGTGGAAAAATGGTTTGATGAGAATAACATTTTGTCAGACGCTCAATTTGGTTTCAGAAAGGGGTGTAGTACAGTAGATGCAATTTTCGTGTTACACAATTTAATAAACCATATGTTAACTCAAAAAATGCGATTACCTTGTGCTTTTATCGACTTAAAAAAGGCGTTTTATTATGCGCTGTTTTTGTAGTTCTACTGAGATGGATTGAATCTCAACACAATGTTCCGTTTTATATATTTTAATGTTAATCTTTCTTAGTGGAATACCACAAATAATATATAACATATACACAGGTTATCCTTATGTTTACAAATAGATATTATAAAACAGTAACAAATATTTCTAGTGGAAAGCCACAACGTTATCACTTGGAAATCCAAAATCTAACTATCTAAATTTTTCTACATGTATCTTTACAACATTTCTAAATAGGTTTCGTTTTAAACTGACCAATAGAATTTTAACATTTTTGTGTCTTAAATAACAAAATGACCAATCAGGTTTCACTACAAAATATGGTAACATAGCAACATAGAATTTATAACAACAATCATCACCTGGACATTTTATCAGTCATAAGGTTTAACAACTTATTAAGTACAGACGACTAAATTGACATCATCACCTAAATATAATAAAACTTTTAGCACTGTTGATTGGACAAAGAGGAAAAGCCATATTTAATCTTCTGGTTACATAAATATTAATTTGACATCTGTTATTAAAACATATAATATTTGTAACTTAACATATTTGAAATTTCACACATTGTTCTGAAAATTTGACCTTTTAGAAAATGATTATATTTATAAATATTTTTGTTTAAAAGAAAATCATCATGCATATTTATTCATTTATTTTTTTAAAAGAATTTTATCATTTTTCTGCTGCACAACACTTCTCCCTCCTTTAAGATTATTTCACTCCTGTGAAATGAAGCATAAATATGTATATAACAAAAATAAATATCATTAAATTAGAATACTGTTTACGTAAGATATTCAGTTACAGAAATATATTGTGAACATAAAGCACCGATTTTGCTGAAAAGCATAAGTACCATCCACTTATAATATATCATACATGTATGTCACTGATTTATTGTAAACAATAAACTTTCAATAACGTCTACTTCTGTTATACTGCCCCCTCTGTCCTTGCTGTCTTCCATGGTGAAATTTGCTTCCTGATCTATACTCGTGTGGGAACCCGGTTTCACATGCTGTTGAAAGGTCCTGATTACTATTTCCTCTTTTACGACAAAGATATTTTGTTCTGTCTCTAAGCTGAGTAATCTCATCTGTCAAGGTTTGGTTTTTATTTTTGAGGTCATCTATTTGGTCATTCAATGATTCTGTCATCAATGCTTCTTCATAAGCTTTCTGTTTGTATTGGAGTCTCAATTCTACATAATCATCACTCAATTTCTTATATTCTAAAATAAGTTTGTCCATTTTCTCTAGTTTTGACGAGTAAGCACTTAATTTTTCTTTTAGCGAGTTGTTTTCTTGCAACAATGCTTCTTGAAAATTACATATTTGTGATTTCTTGAGGGAAATCTCATTCTGCAGGTTTTCATTAAAGTTTTTAAGTCTTTGATTTTTCAAAATTAGAGCCACATTTTCTGATTTTAAACCGTGAATTGTTTTATTCATTGAATCATTTAAAGATTGTATCTTCTGAAATTCTGCTTTAGAAACGTTACTAACAGAGTTGTTTGTTAAAATATACTTAAAGAAGGCATCGTCTTCGTTATAGAATGGTAACATGTTTTCTGCTGTCTTACGTCTGATAAAAGTTGTCATACGTTCTTGATCCCGTTGTTTAGATAGACTTGACTTGACTGCTTGATTTCGGCAAACTCGTGCAAAATGTCCAATTCTCTTGCATTTGTTGCATCTTGCCATTTCTGCACAACACTTCTCCTTTCTGTTATAATGATAAAGTCCACATTGTCCACATGATTTTTCACTTCTAAATGGTATTCCATTTATGAAACTCATTGTTGTTTTTCTTGGGGAAGTTGAATTCGTAGTCTCGCTTGCTAAATTGAGAGGTTGGGAAAGACACTGATTCCCACCAAGTATTATGCGCTGTTTTTGTAGTTCTACTGAGATGGATTGAATCTCAACACAATGTTCCGTTTTATATATTTTAATGTTAATCTTTCTTAGTGGAATACCACAAATAATATATAACATATACACAGGTTATCCTTATGTTTACAAATAGATATTAAAAAACAGTAACAAATATTTCTAGTGGAGAGCCACAACGTTATCACTTGGAAATCCAAAATCTAACTGTTCGATTTCTCTACATATCTTTACAATATTTCTAAAAAGGTTTCGTTTTAAACTGACCAATAAAATTTTAACATTTTTGTGTCTTAAATAACAAAATGACCAATCAGGTTTCACTACAAAATATGGTAACATAGCAACATAGAATTTATAACAACAATCATCACCTGGACATTTTATCAGTAATAAGGTTTAACAACTTATTAAGTACAGACGACTAAATCGACACTATCACCTAAATATAATAAAACTTTAAGCAAAATTGATTGGACAAAGCGGAAAAGCCATATTTAATCTTCCGGTTACATAATTATTAATTTGACATCTGTTATTAAAACATATAATATTTGTAACTTAACATATTTGAAATTTCACACATTGTTCTGAAAATTTGACCTTTTAGAAAATGATTATATTTATAAATATTTTTGTTTAAAAGAAAATCATCATGCATATTTATTCATTTATTTTTTTAAAAGAATTTTATCATTTTTCTGCTGCACAACAGTTTGACTCTGTGAACCGCAATGCATTATGGTATAAATTGTTTAATATGGGATTAGATGGGAAGTTACTTAGAACTTTTAAATCAATGTATTCAATTGTTAAGTCGTGTGTTAAACATTGCAATACATTTTCAGAGTTTTTCAATTTATCGGTTGGGCTACGACAAGGCCAAAATAATTCGCCCGCCATGTTTGCACTATTTTTGGAAGACCTAGAATTATTTTTACAAAACTCGGTCGATTGTGGATTGAATATATTTGAAATATGTATAGTAATATTGTTATTCGCTGACGATATGGTAATAATTGGTAACTCGCAAGAGGATTTACAGCAAAGATTAAACTCGTTATTTGAATACTGTAATCTATGGGACCTAGAGGTAAATACGGCCAAAACTAAAATAGTTGTTTTTCGGAATAGAGGAC